TCTATCTATCTATCTATCTATCTATCTATCTATCTATCTATCTATCTCAATATATTCATCTTGTATCCCGGCTGTAGCCCTCCCTCATCTCCTCATCTCCACCCACTTTTCCACCTATGCCCCTCTCCTAGTCCACTGGTAGGGGAGGTCCTCCTCCCCAACTATCTGACCTTAGCCTATCAGGTCTCATCAGGACTGGCTGCATTGTCTTCCTCTGTGTCCTGCAAAGCTGCTTCCCCCTCAGGGGGAGGTGGTCAAAGAGCCAGCCACTGAGTTCATATCAGAGACAGTCTCTGTACCCCTGACTAGGGAACCCACTTGGAAAATGAGCTGAGGAGTTGTTTAGATGTCTGCTGTGGTGGTGGTGGTGGTGGTGGCAGGGCTGGTGGTGGGAGTGGTGATGGTATTGGTGATGGTGGTGGTTGGAGTTGTTGTGGTAGTGGCGGTTGTGTTGTGGTGGTGATGGTGAGGGCAGTAGTGGAATTTTATGTAAAATTTCTATAAAACATGAAAATGGATATATATTTAGACTTGAATCAATCTCATGCTGAAATATATATATGCAGATATTCTAAAATCTGAAAAAGTCAGAAACATGAAGTAGTTCTGGTCCCAAGCATTACAAATAAGAGACACTTAATTCAAGTCATTGGAGCTTTCACCAATGTAGGAAACTTTGGTTGGGCATGTAGATTTACCCACTTGGTTCTGGAGTGCCACAGCCTTTCAAAGAATACATCATCGGGAAGGAAAACATTTAGACCATTTCCTCTGTTGTTCATCCTACCTTCCCTCTAATTCTACTTCTGAAATGATTTGTTTTTGGCCTAGAGCCCTGAACATACTATCTTCCTCAATATCTAATCTACCCAGTCACTCAACTTGAGGGTCACTTGAATGTTTTCTTCTGTTTCTTTCTGTTATCCAACAGGTAGCTAAAAATTCTATATCTGGGGGCTGGAGAGATGGTTCAGTGTTTAAGAGTACTTACATCTGCCCTTCCAATGGTCCTTAGTTCAATTCCCAGCAGCCATGTGGTGGCTCACAACCATCTTTAATGAGATCTGGTGCCCTCTTCTGGTGTGTATGTATACATGAAGGCAGAGTACTGGATAAATAATAGATTCTGAGACTGATACTCCAAACAAGGACCATGCATAGAGTTAACCTAGAACCCTTGAACAGATGTAGCCCATGGTAGCTCATTGTCCAAGTGGCCTCCATAGTAATGGGAACAGGGACTGTCTGTGACATGAACTCGGTGGCTGGCTCTTTGTTCAGCTCCCCCCTGAGGGGGTAGCAGTCTTACCAGGCCACAGAGGAAGACAATGCAGCCACTCCTGATGGGACCTGATAGACTAGGATCAGATGGAAGGGGAAGAGGACCTCCTCTATCAGTGGACTGGGGAAGGGGTATGGGAGGAAAAAAGGGAGGGAGGAAGATGGGATTGGGAGGGATCTAGGGAGGGGGCTACAGCTGAGATACAAAGTGAATAAATTGTAATAAAAAAATTAAAAAAGAAAGGAACCCTAAAGCAGATTAATTAGAAATTATAATTCTAAAAAATATTTTAAAAAGAATTATAAGTGAGTATGTACCGTGGGAAGCTAAATAAATAACAAGGAGGACCCTACGGAGGATGCTTAATTCTCATTCGGAAGGGGAAATAAAATAGACACCAGAAGTGGTTGAAGAGAGGGAACAGAATGGGAACTTACCATAGGCATCATTGAAAGACTCTGTCCTACTGGGGATCTAAGCAGATGCTAAGACTCAGAGTCAAACTTTTGGAAGTACACAGAGTCATAGGAGAGAGTTGGGGAATAGAAGGACATGGAGGGGGCAGGAGCACCATAATAAGACCAACAGAGCCAACAAATCTGGGCCCACGGGGGCCTGCAGAGACTGATGCACCAACCAAGAACCATGCATGGAGAGGACCTAGACCCCTTGCTCAGATGTAGCCGACAGGCAGTTCAGTCTCCATGTGGGTTTCCTAGGAAGAGGTGCAGGGGCTGTCTTTGACATGGACTCTGTTGCCTGCTCTTTGATAGTCTCCCTGGAAGTGGGGCCTTGCCAGGACACAGAGGAAGAGGATGCAGACAGTCCTCATGAGACTTGATAGGCTCCTGTCAGATGGTAGGGAAGGAGGGTTCCTCTCTTCTGAGGACTAGAGGGAAAGAGGGAGAGAAGTTGTGACCCGGAGGAGACCAGGGAGGGATCTACAATTGGGACGTAAAGTGAATAAATTATAACAAATAAATGTAAATTTTAAAAAAGACAAAAGATATAGCAAGTATCTGAACTAGGAATGATATGACTCCCTCTTTTTTTTTTTTTTTTTTTTTTTTTGACTGGCATTGCATTGGTTAGCCTTTTCACATTTTCATGAAATGATTTTCATCCCTAGTTATCATCTTTGATCCCTTACATTGGACATCCCTGTCCAATGCTTTCTCTACATGGCTGCAAAAATGTATCTCACTAAAGTTGCAAATTTGTACCTTCCCAGTAATAAATACTTGTAGATTAGACTTTTTTGTATTGCTAACATTTGTTCTTTGGCAGTTTCATACACTATTTAACACATTTTGATGGCTCTCATTTTCTACCCTCTCATATTCCCCTCTGTCCTGTAACTCTCCCCTTCTGCCAGTCTCTTTACCATATTCATACCTATTAATTTTGTTTTGTGATCTTTATTTTAAAAAGGGCTGTCAATGTGACTGTGGGTATGGAACTATCCATTGATGCCCTGTGGACTTATCACTGGGTCTACAGCTGCACACAATGACCAGCTCACCCTAAAATCTTCCAGTAGCCAACAGAAGGGCAAGAGGGCAGTACTCTATGAGCCCTGCCTATCCATGATCCACTGTTGATAGGTTCAGTCTTGTTCCCTGCCCAGTAACTGTAGCTGCTTTGTTACCATGTTTGAAATGGCTGTGTCAGGCTGTGTCATGCTTTAAAGACAGATTTTGAAGTCTTTATCCATATTTCGGTCCAGAACTTTAAATAGGGTGGTGTAAATGTTCTGTTTGGGCTGAGTAAGCAACTGTGACCTTTCTCAGCATCTTGAGCAGCCTGGATCTCTGCATTCAAAAAGCCTTATACTGAAGAGAAAACCTTCTATTTTAAGCCTGAGAATAGCATCTGTACAAGAACAAATATTTAGAATATTTAGAAATAATGAGACCCTAGCGACGAACACACAGCACACCTCAGGTATAAGGTACAGAGAAATCAAGCCAAGACTGAACTAAAAGTTTCCTCCTGGCTGGCTAGATTTTGCAGTCCCAGAAGATGCTATGCAGGCTGCTAGGAGAAAGGGGGCATTAGTGTTCTCACCCAGATGTGAACCCTATAAGAGAGAGGACCAATACACTAGGCAGGATACACTCACTATACCTGTGGGGGGAAAACTGCTTTGATTGAATTTGAGGCCTGTTGTATGGGACAAAATCCATACATGTTACTGTAAACCTGGTCAAAAGCCAACATGTCTCTAATTAGAATTAAGGCCCACTCTACATCTCAACAAGAAGAAGAAATATTTAGAAAGAGAAATATTTAGAAGGAAATTTGACATTTTATAAATATGACAAAACTAGTATTTAGTTCCCTCAAATAGCCTGACTTTCCTCATGGGTTTTTAATTTTTTTTATTTTTGAGATTATAATTTGATCACAACATTTTTTTTCTTTCCCCTCTCCAAACTCTCCCATATACTCCTATGTACCCCTTTTCATTCTCTTTCATATTCACAGCCTGTTTTTTAACTAATGATTATTACATGCATATATGTATGAACATATATCTTCCTAAATGTAACTTGTTGAGTTCGTAATGCTGGTTGTATGTGTGTTTTCAGGCTTGAAGTTTGGCACTGAACAATCAGTTGGTGTGCTTTCTTTGGGGAAGGTCACGTCTCTCATTCTGAGCTTCCCTCAGTTGCCTGTTGTTCTTTGCATAGGGTTGAGGCCTCATGGACAAAATTTTCTCTATCCTGTTTGGTAGGATGATTGGTTTCATCCTTGTTCAACCTACACCTGGGCTGTCATGCTGGCAGCAGTTCCTGGGTATAGCTTCTGACATTGCTGGGAGATGCAATCTCCTAGTCAGCTCCCTGATCCTGTGGTTTTCACAATCTTTCCATTCTCTCTTCCTCAATGTTTCCTGCTCCTAGCGGGACAGGAATATTTCATGGATGTATCGATTAGGACAGGTATGTACAATTCTACAT